TTTTAAGTTTATGCAGTTGTGTATGATGTAATTAGACAGGTGCTAATTTTTTTTTCTTAAAATGTGCTTGAAAAGTGCTTATAGGTGCTTATTTTTTTAACTAAAATGTGGCTATGAACCCTGTTAGTAAAGTCTCCTGATTTTTGAGTGTAGTAAGTTGGCCTAAAATAGGGAAATATCAATGGAAAAAAGTAGAGAGATGTATATATATTTATATATAAATGTATTTTAAAATATTTATTTATCGATATATGTAATTAAATTAAGTTTTTGTTTCTGTTTATCATCTTCATTTATCATTACTTCTCCATATTTTTTCACTAATTCCATTAATTAGAAAATTTTGCCTTTTACTTGTCATAAAATAAAAACCTTCAAATTCGTGGCTATGGTCATCATTATCATCCTCACTATGAAATATAATAACTGGCCATAAAATTATCCAAACTTTTTTTTTTTTAATGATTCTTGATCTAATTTTGGCTAGTATCAAGAAGTGAACAGAATCCACATTATCCCCATGATGAGCTCTCACATCCATTAAATATGAATAATGCCTAGCATCAATTAAGCCATGATCAGTTTGATTAGCATGAGTGTCATTTGGGATGTCAAGTTCCCTTGTGAATATTTTTATGTGGGAAAGACATGCTTCCTATAATCATACTATGTAAAGTTGTAAAATCTATTAAATAATGTCTGTTAACATTAGTTGTATCATGTAGACCAGGGGTAGGCAAATAGTAACCCGCAGGCCAAATGCAGCCTACCAAGAGTGTTTTGCAGCTCACCAAGGCAGTCAAAAATACCCACATTGAACAAAGATTTCCTTCCCGTTCTCAACCGAAGATTCATGTCATATTTTTCACTAGGCTGGCTGCATCAATATGCATGGGCAGTGCAGATACAATGTGCAGTACTTTTCTGATTGATCTGGTTAATTTCAGTTTTAAAAGAAATGTAAAATTTATGATGAATGTTGTGTTTAATGAAGAATGGACAAGCGAAAAGGAGGAAATAAAGCAGTGTGTTTATTGTGTCATGAATTTAAGGAGCACAATTTGAAATGATGCCACACACAAAACATTGCAAATTTGGCTGCAAACTCTCCAAGGAAGAACACAAAATAAAAGCTGCGGATTGTGTGCAAAGGCCGAGGAAGCAGCAAACATTATTTACAAAGCAATCAATGCTTTAAAATAGAACTATAGAATCAAATTTCATAACAGCCTGCAACCTTGCTGAAAACGACAAGCCTTTTTTGGATGGTGAGTTTACTAAGCAGTGCATTGTAGAGTGTGCAAGTGTATTGTGTCTTAATGTGAGAAGTGAATATGAAAGTATTTGATTGCCAAGAAGGACTACAGTACACCATGTTGACTCAAATAGTGATGAGCTCAAAGAACAGCTAAAGACTGTGAGCAAAGATTCTAGTTGGTTTTCTTTGGCAGTGGATGAGAGCACAGATAATAAAGACAATTATAAAGTTGAGCAAAATTGCTCAACTTTATCCTTTGAATTAATAGAAATCACAGAGAAATTATTTGGCCTAGAATCACTGGAAAATAGATCCCCTGATCAGGATTTGCTTGAATGTTCTGTGAATTGTGTGGGAAAAAAATCAATGAAAGATAGAACCACTGGTCAGGACTTGCTTGAATAGGCTGTGAATTGTGTAGAAAAAAATCAATGAAATACAGAACCACTAGCCAGGACTTGTTTGAATGTGCTGTGAAAGTGTGTTTGAAAGTGGCTATTCCTGGAACAAAATGGCAAGCATTGCAGCAGATAGGGCTAGAGCTTTCAGTAGAAACAATGTAGATATGGTTAAGCAAATTTTAAAAAAATGCTAGGAAAGGGTACTGTCAAATTTGCAGTAAAAGTAGGCAATCAAATAAATTGGATTGAGTTAGATAATGTGTTATATAATCCAAATCAAAGAAGAAATTTACCATCGAGAGCAAGGTTAGAAAAGGCATTTGCTCAGGTTGTTATTTCAAAAGGGAAGATGTGGATATACTTTAATAATTGGGATAGATTATGGCTACGCTAAACGATATGATGCACTTTATCACGTAAAACCATTTAGATATGCAACAGATAAAAAGGAAGCTGGTTATGGTACAGAAATTGGAAAGTTAAATAAAGTAGATGATGTGATGCTATGGCATCAGAGATTTAGCCACGTAAATTTTGATTATATTAAGAATACTAATAAGAATCAAAGTGTGAAAGGGTTACCAGAAATTGAAAAACCAATGGAGAGGTGTGAACCATGTATTATTGCTAAATCTAGTAGAATAACTTTTAAAACTGTTCCAAAGAGATCGGATAAACCATTGCAGTTGGTTTATTTAGACGTTTGTGGCCCACTCCCAGTTCCATCTAAGGGTGGGAGTAAATATTTCCTTGCTATTGTGAATGACTATAGTAGATTAGTAACAGTGTATTGTATGAAAAATAAAAATGAATCGTTCTACAACTTTAAGAATTATCATAGGCAAATGGAAAGACTGACGAATAGAAAATTAATAAGTATACGCACCGATAACGGTGGGGAATTCTGTAACAGGCAATTCAAAGGGTACTTAGCCGAAAATGGAATTAGTGTTGAACGCACAAACGCGTACACCCCAGAAGAGAAACGGTGTGTGTGAACGTTTTAACCGAACGGCATTAGACGCAGTTAAAGCTATGCTTAATGATAGGTAAAATGAGGAAAAGAATGGTGGGGCAGAAGCTCTTGGCTGTTTCGTACATACGTGGAACAGAAGTATGTCATAAAAGCAACCGAACCCCTTATGAAATGTCCTTAAATAGAAAAACCCAGTGTTGTTTATTTTAAAATATTTGGTTGTAAAGTCCTATGTTGGCATGCCAAAACAGATTAGAAATAAATTACAAATGAGGTGCAAAGAAGGAATCATGGTAGGATATGCGAAGGAAACTAGGGGTTATAGGATATGGCTACCAGAAGAACGCAGATTAATAGAAACCTGTAATGTGAAATTTGATGAAAAAGTGACTGCAGCAAATGGGATCCTGGAACAGAAATCAAAAACTAAGTTTAAAAGACTAGAGGAATCTGAGCTATTAGCAGAATCAGATGAAGAACAAGAAACTTCTAGAGAAGAAATAAAGTTGTCAGATGACAAATCTACTCCGAAAGAAGTATCAGACTTAAACTGGCAAAGAAAAGCAGATAAAAGGCCAGACAGAACACGTACAGACATATATTATTATGTAGAGGGAACAGACACCTATTTTAGTCCTATAATGATATTGAAAAGTATTGTGAGGCAAGAAATATTAAATTTGAAAAAGATAAGTTTGATTTTAGTGGAAAAAACGAATACTTGGGGTAGTCCTTAAATTTTCTCATATGGTCCTTAAATTTTCTCATTTGAAATTTCCATCTCTTTCATGTGACTGCCATTTCTTGTGGAAATCAACATTTTGGATAAATATAGAGTTCAAACTATGCAGCACCAAATGAAGCCATCAGAAATTGATGTTGTAAGTAATGAGAAACAGTTGACTATCATAAAACCAAAATTTTGAAATTTCAGATTGCTTTTTCACCCATTCTTCCAAAATCGCTGTTGTCAACAAAGTGCCATCTTATTTGCAATGAGAAAAACTATTTCTTGAACTTTGATCTTATTCTTATGCCTATGCTTCAACATTTTATGATGAAAACTTGACCATCAAGAAGGTCAAAGTTCAAACTTAATAAAGCTCTTTTTTCTGTTTATTAGAAACAATGGAGACCATCTAGAGATGCTCATTAGTCAAAAGAGCCAAAGAACAGCAGTATATAATGATTTAGATTTCTTTTTAGAGCCAAATTTCATTTCAAGAGTCATATTTTTAGGAATAGCTTTAAACTGGCTATTAATATTTTTAAAAAAATCAGATAGCATAATAATAATAATTTATTTATTGAGAACAATATTTTTTATATAAAGTAAAAATATGACAAGACACATATTTAATATGAACAGTGACCTTGCATTTCCTTTGCTTATGGCCATGCTTCAACCTTTTATGATGAAAATATGACCATCAAGAAAGTCGAAGTTCAAACTTCGTAAAACTTTTTTTTTTTTTTTTCATAAAGCTTTTAGTTATTTTTGTAGAACAGGAGACGAACTCTGAGTCTGAAAAGGCAAATTCTGTAGAAATTGTTATCCCACAAAATTTTAAAGAAGCACGAAAATCAGTAAATGCCGAAGAATGGGATAAGGCAATGAAAGAAGAAATTGACATAGTGAAGAAAAGAAAGGTTTGGGAATTAGTTGAAAAGCCAGAAAATAAAACTATGCTAGGAAACAAATGAGTCTATACGCTAAAAAGAAATGAAAAGAATGAAGTGGTTAGATACAAAGCACGTTTAGTAGCACAGGGATTCAGGCAGAAAAGAGGTGAAGATTTTAATGAAGTTTACAGTCCTGTAGTAAATTTTTCAATCATAAGATGGTTCGTACGTTCCTTAAGAGTACTCAAATTTTTTTGAATCGATTTTTGGTCCTTAAAAGACCTTAATTTTGGCCAAAATCAGCAGAAGGTCCTTAATTTTAATCATTTGGAATTTCTGTCTGTTTTTATGACTGCATTTTGTGTGTGAATTAGCATTTTGGAGGAATATTTTTGGCGATTCACTGCCGTATGTATGGTAAATCTTTTGAATGGGTTCATGAGTTATGATTTGTTTCTATTTCTAATATAAATGATGGGATACTCGAGTTTCTAAACAAGAAGTGAAACATAAGCATTTCAAAATTCATTTTTTCTAATAAAGACCTATTAAACAACTTTTCGCTTTTGAGGATGTGAATTCTTTTATTAAACGGTTCTAAATTAGGCGACTAGTATAATTCCTATATAAATGAAATTTATAAGAATTTAAAGAGCAAAAATTGAGAACATGATGTGTATGAAAATTTTGTTTACTTTTTATTTTTTTTTATTTTATTTAATTAATTAATTTTTTTTTTCAGACGAAAGTATATTAAGTGCCTGAAGATAAAAACTGTTTATGAATCTCAACCAGAAAAAAGGTCTGTTTGCCAGTTTACTCTAGTTAATTATTGTTTCCAGTTGACTTCTTATTTATTCAAAATTGTGTATGAAACCAAATTTTTATAAAAATATTTGTTGAAATATACTTTTTACTTTATGCTATTTAATTGATTATATTTTTTATATTTTTTCAATTTGCAAATAGGCTTTTAAATTTAGTAAACCGAAGGAAATTTCTTGAAGCTGAAAAATTGGCAGAAATATCTAATTTGAGTTGTGAAGTTAGTAATGAATTATTGTGTTTTCCTTTGTGCTAAATTACATATATATTCATTACTACAAACTATAGAGTTAATTTGTATTGAATTTTATAATTATTTGGTTTTAGATTATTTATCAAAAGAAAATTAACTGCTTATTAAGAGAATTGAGAACAAAGTTCAGCAAGACATCTGAAGACATACTTGAAGCTGTATGGTCTGAAATTCAAGATTCGTTTCAAAGAATAGAGGTAAAAATCACATTCTAATGTTGTGCACTATTTTTTACATTACTGTACTTTAAAAGTTTATGTATTTTACATCAGAAGTATGATATTATTATTATTTGTATTTGTTGGGATTCTGTTCAAGTATCATTATTTAAATAAGTCTTTTTAAGTGCATTCTTGTCTCGGCAGGTTGTGATAGCTATGGGGGAAAAGTGTGAATTTATGTAGTGTAGCACATCCATAATAATACACTAAGCTCCTCATTGTCTGTGCTAATTAGCACACAGATAAGCATGAATAGTACTTTCTGATTGACACCCTCAATTTCAGTATACAGTAGGACTGTCATGATTTTGGTATATTCTCAAGTATGCATTCGACAATAGCCAACCTGTGCATGTGAGTAATATGCTTGTAAATTTAAGTGCCTGATTTTTAATATTTCCCCCCCCCTTGAGCACACTATAAAAATTTGTCAGCACACTATTAAATGTTATTAATACACTATTAAAATTATTTATTCACACTCTATAAAAATGTAAATACAGGTCACACAAAATTGTTTTATTTTGTAAATTTTTTTGTTTATTTTGTAAAGTTTCTATTAAAATGCTTCTTTTTATAATTATTTATCCACAAAACATGCCTATAAGCCAGGTTTTGTACGGCCCTTAAGAAAAGTTCACAAGAATCCTTAGGTTTTTGGTCCTTAAAACTTCTATGAAAATTTGCAAATGGTCCTTAAATTTTCTCATTTGAAATTTCCATCTCTTTCATGTGACTGCCATTTCTTGTGGAAATCAACATTTTGGATAAATATAGAGTTCAAACTATGCAGCACCAAATGAAGCCATCAGAAATTGATGTTGTAAGTAATGAGAAACAGTTGACTATCATAAAACCAAAATTTTGAAATTTCAGATTGCTTTTTCACCCATTCTTCCAAAATCGCTGTTGTCAACAAAGTGCCATCTTATTTGCAATGAGAAAAACTATTTCTTGAACTTTGATCTTATTCTTATGCCTATGCTTCAACATTTTATGATGAAAACTTGACCATCAAGAAGGTCAAAGTTCAAACTTAATAAAGCTCTTTTTTCTGTTTATTAGAAACAATGGAGACCATCTAGAGATGCTCATTAGTCAAAAGAGCCAAAGAACAGCAGTATAATGATTTAGATTTCTTTTTAGAGCCAAATTTCATTTCAAGAGTCATATTTTTAGGAATAGCTTTAAACTGGCTATTAATATTTTTAAAAAATCAGATAGCATAATAATAATAATTTATTTATTGAGAACAATATTTTTTATATAAAGTAAAAATATGACAAGACACATATTTAATATGAACAGTGACCTTGCATTTCCTTTGCTTATGGCCATGCTTCAACCTTTTAGGATGAAAATATGACCATCAAGAAGGTCGAAGTTCAAACTTCGTAAAACTGTTTTTTTTTTTTTTTTCTTTTTCTTTCATAAAGCTTTTTTAAGTTTAGATAAGTAAGGTTGTTGTTTTTGATTTGGGTTAGTTTAGGTTAGGTTATTTAATTACGGCAAAGCCTCGAGGGCTATCTGCCTAAGGGGAGGGATGCCTTCGTGGAGGACTTTCTAAGGGAAACTGGCTCGTATACACGTTACACATGGGGAAAACCACGAAAACACCCATGCAGCCAGCCCGTTCGCGGGATTCGAACCTCGGACCGAACTACCAGTGTTCAGCGACTTTACCGCTCGGCCGCTGGTGGGCCTGTTTTTGATTTGAAGCAGATTCCTATCTCACATCAATAAGACAATTTCTCAGTTTTTGATAAAGTTCATGCTTGAAAAAGAAACTGCTCACATGAATATGTAGGGCCAAAGTGATAAAAAATCACCAAGTACTAGGTACTAGCTTTTTTAGTTGACTGCATGAGTCAGAATTATTATTCCAGGTGTAGAAACTTGTCATGTCTTCCTCCTGCAGGTCTTTCAAACCAGACCATTTTTGCTGTGAACTAAGATAATTTATTTTGCCTTAAAGTTTCCATATCAGCATTAGGGCATTAAAATTTAGAGTTCCTTAATTCTTTGTTTTTTACGTCTGGTAACTGCATTTTAAAACCGCCACTGTCAATATTAACCTCTTTGCTCCCTGCATATCTCATATGATACAGCTCAGTTTTCCTTCAATGCGCACACTGTATCAAATGTGCAACATATGTAATTGATGCCTCACTGAATCGTATGTTGATACACTGAAGCAGAATCTTTTATTTGAAATACTAATTGCACATAAATTATATCAGAATGCTGCGAAAACTTAATAGAATTTCTTGGATCTTGGCATTGTTGTGATGAATGATATTTATTATTTATTCTACAAAAGTAAAATGCGTGGCACTAACAATGTGTGTTCAAAATTTAGAAATGTTTCATGCAATGCTATTGGCTTAATATTTTTGTGAGTAAATATGGCAATAGGATATTATGAGCACTGATATACTATTGCCTTATTGTTTAAGAAACCCTGATCTAAAGCATTCCTGTTAAGAAAAAATTACCATTCAAATAAAAATAAATCAGATAAGCTTAAAAAAGGATGAATGGGGATGTATTGCTCTTGGAGCAAAAAAAAAAAAAAAAAAAATTTTTTTTTTGGTAAAAGTACGAAAATTTTTGCCAGTTTGATGATTTCCAGATTTATATTTAAAATTCATAGTTATGCCAGGAATTTGAGTTGCCATTTAAATTCATTCTCTCTATTGTGCAAAAAACAATCTTTTTCCCTTTTTGCTACAGTATGAATTATCTTGTTTGACATTGTTATGTTTGGTGGATAATTATGGTTTTTGACAATTTTAAGATCAAATTGTCTGTAAAAACTTAGATTTGGTAATTTGTGAATTTCATTACGATTATTTAAAAAACATAAGAATTATTTTGATATTGTAAAAATAACAACAGCATATTAAGATACCTTTTTTTTAAGAAAAAGTTATCTTGAATTATTTTTATTATTATCTACCATGTTTTAAAGTATCTTTGGTTTTCATGATTTTTATATCAAGTTATCATGATTCTGAAATTGAAATAAGATAAAAAGTGTTATCAAACAGAATTTCTGAATTATTTTTCACAAAAGCAGTCACTACTGTAATCTTATAAAATTTAATTTCACTTATTTAAATTTTTATAACAATTTTTTTCTTCTCTAATTCTTTTAAAATATTCAGTTGTAAATTAACTTTTTTTGTAAAACTCATTTTTTGTTTTATAATTGTTTTAAAAAATCTTCTGAGTTTTACTCTCAATAAATTGGCAGGTATTTCAATGATGCTGATAAAAGTGCTGTAAGAACCCAGGACAAAATAAAAATATATTACTGGTGTTAATATAGACACAAATTGATGTGCAAACGGGTTTTGATGGAAAATGCAAAATTTTACATTTTGGTCGCCAATGCACGAATGGTTGTCGCTACAGCGCATCTGATCTGCGCAACTGGCAGGATATTTAAGAAGAGAAATTACGATTCCAGGTCATAAATTCTTCACGAATTTCGTTCCGTGTACTCTGGTAGACAATAACCATGCTTCGCATACAGGTATACGAATGCTACGCGCAGATGTCAGAATTTGAGAAAGATCGTATAGTTGAGCTTAAAGAAGCCGGTTGGTCTTATCGGCGAATAGCTCGACATTTGAGCAGGAGCGATGCCACTATTAGATGATGTTGGCAGGAATGGGTGAACCATGGCCGCACACAGTGTCAAGAAGGAAGCAGTAAGCCTAGAGAAACGACAGAACCTGAAGACCAAGCAATCGTCAGAGCGCCACTCACAGCCCAGATGCGTCATTATCATTGATTGTACGTGCAACTAGTGCTTCAGTGACCGCAAGGACCATTCATATATGGCTCACAGAAAGGAATCTGAGGTCACAGCGTCCCTTGCGCTGACTACTATTGACCTCTGTACAACGTCAAACCCGTTTGCAGTGGTGTCGGGCTCATTCGCAATGGAATGTCACTGACTGGAGTAGAATAGTCTTCAGTGATGAGTCCCGCTTTGAACTAAGCCCCAATGACCAGCGAAGGCGAGTCTGGAGACGCCCCGGACAGTGGTGTGATACCAACCTGATTGTCTTCCGGCAAACAGGTCGACAACCAGGAGTGATGGTCTGGGGTGCCATTTCATGTCATATTAGGACCCTTTTGGTTGTCATTCGTTGCAATCTTATAGCACAGTAGTATGTCGATGCAGTTCTAAGGCCCGTTGCGTCGCGCCACCCTGGGCTTACATTTCAGCAAGATAATGCCTGCCCCCACACAGCACATGTTTTTACTGCTTGCCGAACATTACCTTGGCTAGCAAGGTCGCTGGATATCTCTCCTATTGAACACGTTAGGAGCATTATGAGCAGGGTGCTCCAACCAGCTCGGGATGTTGACGATCTAATGTGCCAGTTGGACAGAATTTGGCACGATATTCCTCAGGAGGACATCCACAACCTCTATTAATCGCTGCCAAGCCGAATAACTGCTTGCATAAGGGCCAGAGGTGGACAAATGCGTTACTGTTTATTTTTGTGAAGCTGTATCACTTCAATAAATCATCCAATTTTTCTCAAACTGTAATCATTTGTTTTTCTGTACATGTACACACTTCTACCGATTTTTGTCCCATTGGAATAACTCGTTCTTGGGGCCTCGTTTTTTTGTCTAAGAGTGTATTTTGAGTTTATTAAATGGCTGAGTTTAATAAATGGTGATTTGTGTCTTGCAAATTGTGATATCAGTTTTAAACTTCTCAAGTAAAATAATACTTAATACTTAATTCAATAATTAATCCTAAAACAATAATTGAAAATTTATGCTAAAATTAAACTTTTTACATAATTTTGAAATTTATTTTTTAATGTTAGAAGAAGAATGTTAAAAGAAAAGTAGCATTTCTAAAATGTGCACTTATAAAAATGTTAATGTTGTACAAAATACTTTAGAGCATGAGTTGCATAATAATGCTAATGAATATATTTTGGGGT